GTAGAGAGCTGGCCAGGAAGGCCTGGATTCAAGTCATATCTCTGGTATATACTGATTAGATGACACTGGGCATGTTACTCAACCTTTCAGAGTTCTAGGCAACTCCCTCAGACAACAGGTTGCCAAGAAATCTACAATATTAAAGAGAATGTCCTTACCTACAAGTCCCCTAGAACAGTACAATCACAGGTTCAGTCTCTCATCCTATTCTTGCATGCACCAGAGTTCCCAAATAGGGAGCAATCACATAAATGCCCATGAATTGCCAAGTCCAGTTCATTGTAAATCTTCAATAAAAAGTACCATTCTTTCTCATGATAGCGATTGCTATAAGTCCCTCTAGGAAAGGGGACCTAATATTCCCCAAACCTGTTAAAGTACAAAGAAGAAGTGTAAAGTATAAAGGGCCTATGCTTTTACTTCACATTACCAAGTTTGACTAGTCAATAAGCATTTTTTAAGCACCTGCTTTGCACTGAACACTATGCCAAGCACTGGGAAACCGAAGAAAGATAAAAACCATCCTTACCCTCAAGAAGCTCACAATCTATTGTAGCAGGTGAGAAGCCTGAGTCATTGCCCCCAAACGTACATGTAACTTTCAGACCCTTATAGACTGAGCTGTCATATCATGTGGCCTTTTAAGCCTTACATTCACAGGAAAGCTTATGAATACAAATTTTCTCCAGGATAGACTTTCCATTTACTGGGATAGTTCGTCAGTGCTCCATGTTGGCAAAGTGAGAGAAGAGGATTGTTTTGATGTTGTGGTGCTTGTTTTAAAATGTATGGAAACTCATTTCCAGCATGTGTCCCATAGAATTTTTACTAACGGATGACTTTCACTTAGTGTTTTTAAAGTTTGGGGCACTTCACACATATTATCTCACTTGAGCCCCATAACAACTCTTTGAGGTAGGTATTATAGGTACTATTACTCCAGTTTTACAGGCAAGGAAATGGAGGCTGTGAGAATTAAAGTGCATTGACCGTAGTCTCACAGCTAGTAAATATCCATAGTAGGACTAGGATCTAGGTCTTCTTGACTTCAAATCCATTACTCTATCCACAGGGAGATTTCTGTAAGTGATGATTATGCCAGTCCAGTTCAATTCTTAATCTTTATGGTTGGTAGAGACTCTTCTCCAAATATTCTATTGTGTCCCTTCTTGTTCCTCAGAAATTCTGTACCAAAATGCACTGGCTTCATTGGTCTTCAAAATCTTCGGTGAGCACATTTTCAGAACCATGGGTGAATAAATCAGCAAACTAACTTCTCCCTTTTTAACACTTGTCATGTGTTTCTGCTTGTATTGGTAACGAAACAACAGACTGCTGTGGACACCGTCTTCCCTGAAAATGCTGATCTTCTGAGATGGGGGGTAGAGGGGGCCAGAACTACCACTCAGTGTCCAAAAGGCCCTGCTCAGTAGTTTAGAGTGTTGCCATTCCATCCCAGAAAATCAAAGCCGTATATGTGCTAACTTGAACTGGGGGCCAGTCAGGTAACCAGAAGTGAGTGAAGGTAGCTTTGTGTTTGTCCTTGAGCTCTCATGTCACAGAACAATCCACAGTGCTGGCACTGGTGGTGCAGACACCAATCCTTCCACCTAGTATAATATTTCAAATGCTGGTTGGCCAAAAAACAGACAGATAAGCAAACCAAGGCAAGTTCCTAGGATGTGAAGTGCATGAAACTGTGCACCTGAAATAAATAGGTCATCCTTTTGTAAATACTGCCACAGAGTGGGCTATGTCAAATAACACGAAGCCTGTTCTCTGCCTTTTCTAGTTCCTGTCTATAGTCAACCCTGAAATAACCTTTTCGACTTTATTTTCTCAGTGCCCTTCCTGTTCTTTTCTGTGGTAATTTTTCTTTATGGTAGTGTTTTCAAGCTGCTCTTATTCACCCCATATTCCCATTCTACTGATAGGGAAGATATGTCTCCAAATGTGAGATGTTAAAAGTAAAGGCCTGAATAGAGACAGAAACATGTATTGCTTCTTCCCAGTGATCTAAGTCTAGGTCATATCAGATCCATCCCATAGAATAAAAGGAAGGCTAGTGTCAACAGGCCACAGACATTGCCCCTCAATCTCCCCAACAAGACTTTGAGTCTAATTAAATAGGTACTAGACCTGAAATCTTGCTGAGACACACTGAATTTAATTAAATTTAATTAACAAATATTTATTCAGTGAGTTACCCAGTTCAAGTCATATCGATGACTCCATTTTGGTGTCAGACTGGACTTTACTGATTCTCATTTGATATATTTCATTAACTTATAATTTTATCAAACAGATCAGAGTCTTCAAAGAACCAAGGGAAATATATTCTTTATTGTTATTATTATTATTATTGTTATTATTGGTCTAGACCTTGGATTTCATCTTCTTTGGAAACTCCAAATGTGGAATTTCTCTCTGCTAATGCGGATCAGCAATTCCCCTGTAACTTAGAATTTTAGAGAGTTGTACTGAGAGGCTATGTGAGTTGCCTGTGGTCAATGGGCAGTATGTGTCAGAGGGCTGAGTTCAACCTCCATTTTCCTTTCTACAAGACCAGCAATCTATTCTAAACGTAAACATCAGAAAATGTTCTATTCACAAGACAAATATCTCAGTCACACAGGGAGCAACACTGTGGTTCACTTACACCCATCCCCTGACTACAGAGAAAAGTTTGATGAAAAGTAAAAATAAAAAAAATGAGAAAGACCAAGATAGACTTGCTTAACTCAGAGGGCCCAATTTGTTTTAGATCTCTCTGGTCCATTCTCCGGTGCAAAGCTAGCTGGTGAACAACATATGTATAGTGCATGATGACAGAAATAGTGCTTATACATCTGTGGATGAGGACATGTGTGATGGGCACAGGAGGCAGTTAGAATGTGTATGTAATATAGGAAATCTTTGCTTGGGCTGTCATCTGCTACCTTGATTTAAAGGACTGCCAGCTGTTTCTTTTCATGTGTGTGCTGATGGACTGCCTGTGCTCTGACATAGCTGCCTCAGAAGCTTAAGCTGGCTAGCTGCCATGGACAGCCAGTAAGGTTGCACGTGAAATAACTCTTGTAATAAGGTTTCTATGTATATCCTGAAGAATAGAGGTAAGGTATCTCTCCTTATCCTCTCAGCTCCATATTGGTCCTCTGGAGGGTGTTGAGATCACAAATGATGGCTACAGTCTAAATTGGACTAGAAGGGTAGGAGAAAGAGGAAGGAAAGTAGAGATATTTGACCATATTATTAATAAGAACAACAAAAATTTAGGTTTATATCAAGACACAGAAAAGTGTTTGTTTGTTTTACAAAATACAACACCCATTTCTGTAAAAAAAAAAAATCACTAGAGGAGATAGGATGAAATAGGATTACTTCTGCGTGTAAAGGGGTTTGCCTTGGCAAGGAACATAGTAGGTGTTTGATAAATGTATGTATAATTTGACAAAAAAAAAAGAGGGGAGGTCATTGAAACATTTTTTTAATGCATAGAAGAGAATGAAAGGAAATGTTTCTTAAGGAAGCAAACAAACTCTATTGTCTGTGGCTTTATGCCCTGTTTATTATAATACATGTCTTTATAAGCAAAGGATGACCTTAAAAGTCACCCAGGTCTAGAATTAAGCCTTGAAATTCAGTGTTGTGGAACATTTTAACTGAATCCCAGGCTATTCCAAAGTCAATTTTTGTAGACTACCTTTCAGAGTGTTTGCTTTTTAAATTTTGTTTGGGCAGTTAATTTATGACTTATGTCTATCTTATGAACAGAAAGTGATTTGTAAATGAAAGTGTGAGGTTCTGAAATCTTGGCATGGACTTGTGCTGAAGAAACTAGAAACCTGAGAGGAGGAAGTGGTTCCAGTCAATTAGGATAGAACTTGACCTTTTTTTTGATTCCTTCTCTTTGGGGACTAACACGGTTCTCTTTGAGCAAACACTCCTCCCTAAACCTGGCAAAGGTTAATATCGAGAAAAGGCCAATTGATCTCTCTCTGAAGTAGGACAGAGCAGTGATCACTATCAGCTGGATGAACATTATATAAGTTGTTGCAACAGATGAGTTTTGATCAATCAGGCATTGAAAAAGACCTTCCCAAAATATTGGCTTCCAGCTATGCAGCTGATCCCTACCACAGTACTCATTTGAGGCTACCATCTTTGAGTCTGAATTGGAGGTGTCTTTCATTTCCCAAAGAACTGTATATGATATATGCTTGAGGTGGCTTACTCATGGAGGAGAATGTGAATGTCAGAAACCCGGTCTGCTTGATCTTTGTTTTGAAGTCTGTTGAGATTTTTAGAGGAAAAGCACAACAGAAATACATCCTATTAGAATAAAATCTCTATCATCCTGCAAATTGAAGGTAGGACTGATATTAAGTGTAAGTGGGAATAGATCACCTATCTAAGGTGATTTTGGAGTGGAGTTAAATGTTTCTTCCTTTACCACTTTGCCCACAGCCAGCTATTCCTGATTAATAGAATAAGTTTTCCCAATTCATCAAAACTTCTTTAATTCATGTGGCACCCAGGTGGTGCAAAAGGAAATATGCCAGTAATAGAGAGGAGAATGACTTAAACAAATCAGTGAAGCACGGATCTATTTTTTTTAAAACAAAACCAAACAAAACCCAGCAGAAAGAGTAAATAACTTTTGAACAACCCTCCCAATACTGCTAGTTAATTATTAAACTAAAAGTTTAGCCTGGGCCAGATCAGAAACACAAGTTTCTAAAATCAACCAGTTGGCCAAGTATTTGATAATTCACCTTTTACTGTATTAATATTATTGCTAAGAATCTAAAATAGTCTGCACTATCATCACTATGTAGGACTTTAAATACCAGCAGCCCTGCTATTCCTCCCAAATCCTTCCTGCTTAATCAGCCCTGGCTTTCAAAGGACATGTTCTCCAACCTCAAAAGCTCCCCACCAAAGATGTTTCCTATGTTTATATTCTCTACTGACCTCTCGCTTTCTCTCTTCTTTCACAGTGTGGCAAAGGAGCAGAAAACTTTGACAAATTCTTTACACGAGGACAGCCAGTGTTAACACCACCTGATCAACTGGTCATTGCTAACATAGACCAAGCCGATTTTGAAGGGTTCTCTTATGTCAATCCACAGTTTGTGCACCCCATCTTGCAGAGTGCGGTATGAAAATGACCAACAAGAACAAAAACCCCAATTCCCTGGTCCCACCCACAGTGTTCCTTAATTCCTAAAATTTTAAGGTCTCAGTCTTGTTGCTTATTCCAGTTGGAGACCTGAAAATTGTAGGGTTAGAAGTCTAAATGTGATCAACCATTCAGGATCTCACTTTCAACCAAGAAACATCGTCTTAGTAAAAATTGATATAGTTCCCAATTTAGCCTTTTAGGAGCCACAGCTGGTTGTATGTCACTCTTACAAAGCAAACAAATTCTTAACCCTTTTTTGGTACGTTTTGATATATTTTCTTTAACTTTCACCTGTCAATTTTCATCAATAGAATTCATCATTATAGAGTTCAGGTTAGAACCCCCTTTTTATCTGATAGGCTGAGGATTTCTTCAATTGAACAGTCTTTGGAATAGAAGCATGGAGAGCACAGAAAATAAGCACTGTGTTAGGGAGGGGGCGCCTCACTGAACCAGTTATTCCTGTAGTCTTTGCTAGTTAATTAAAAAAAAAACTGCTAGAAAAGACCAAGGAGGAACAGGAGAGCATGGATGACGACACAGTTGCAAGCTAAACATTCCCAAACATTGGCTGTTCATGACCCAACCACAGCCCATCAGCTCTCAGTTTTAAAAGACCAAAAAGAAAGAAAAGAAAAAAAAAGTCAAATATTTCATGAATCCATCATATCGTGTCTGGCTGGTTTGATAACTAGTTTTAAATTGCATTTCTATTAAGAGGCCAAATATTTTAAGGACAATGCTAAGGTAGCGTGTGAAATCATTTCAGATCAAAAGTAAAAATTCCATATTTATGTTCATGTTAATCTCTGAGAGATTGTTCTGCGATCCAGGGTGCCATTGTTAATTATGCCACTATTCAAGAGCATTGTTAGCCAATCTCACAAAACACAATATTTTGCTACTGACTTTATTAACTTAGTAAGAAGCTGAGCTGTAACCCTTTTCCCGTTTTGTACTTATTTATTTGATAGGCTGCAGTGTTGTTTATGAAAGTACTGTGTACAATAACTTAATGAAGTATTGAACTAGAAAGTCCGTCCCTAAAGTTGGGAAACTTTATCCTTCTGAGTTTACTTAGAGAGAAAACAAACAAAAAAAAAAGGCTTCATTTTCCATTTCCATTTCCCATTGAATGATTCACCTGGAGATGTAGAATCAGCCTGGATTAAAATCAGTTCCCCCAAACATTTAATTTCTAGAAGAAATTTACAATGTTTTGCATCTGCATCATGCAATGAATTTTGCATGTTTATACTAAATCTTAATCTATACTGTTGATATAATCGTATGCAGTATAAAGAGAGTATTATAATAATTTTATAAGACACACTTTGTGTTATATTTGTGAAGTTTCTCATTTCTAAGCAACTTCCCCCTTGTTTAGATTCTAGCTTCATGTTCTGCTGCCGTGATTCTTTTCTCCCTCAATGCATCTCCTGCTGACTGTCACTGATATCAAGTATATTCATTTTTTTAACATAGATCAACTATCCAAAATGAATGGCTACTTTACATAATTTAGTTGGGCTTTTGTTATATCTGTCTGCTTCTACTTATAAAACACACACATACATAAAACAGCAGAGAGAGACAGACAGAGAAATTTTCTAGGCCAGAAGGTGTTATTTTTGAGATGACACACTTACCTTCTTAATGCAATCTTCTCTTTGTTGGTTCATGCACAATATTTCCTCTTTGAGTTAATGAGAAGTGATCATTTTCAATCCCATAATTTATGCTGACTTAAGCTCTTTTTCAACACCTTGGGCCTTGTTTGTGTGAGTGACTTGTAGGCAAGGGAAAGGCAGAAAGATTGCCTTCTTGGGAGACATGGGAATGCCAGAAGCATGTTGTCTATACTGCTATTTGTGAAACAGGCTGCTGTTTTTTCTCAGCACGTAACATACTGTCATGAGAACAATATATGCCATATGAGATTTAACATTACATCAGTTCCAACAGCAAAGGGGTCCCCCAATTGTGCCAAAAATACTCCATTCCAGAATGCAGGTTTCATTATGGCTACTGGTAGAAGAGCATGAATGCTGTAAGATATCATCCAAAAGCCAGATAGTCAAAGGAATTTAAAAATAATGACTCAAAAATATGCAAGCTAGAAGTATCCACTAGCTCTTACAGAAGCTTTCTAGATTTTCCTCTGTTCTTAAACACCATTTTTTTAAAAAAAGAAATTATTAGGCTAACATATGGCCTGCTAAGAGCTCTCTGTGATATACTGTACCTACACTCCTAGGCTCTACAATGCCTGGCAGGGGTGAGAGGAAAATCAGGAAGAGGGAAAGGCAGAGCCCCAGAAAGTATGGTTCTATGGCAGTCAGCTATGGTTGCAGGCAGTTGTGGCACTGAGGCTTCAGAATTTGAAAGGGACTATGGAGGATTCATCCTAGGGTCAAAATAGTCTGTATGCCATCAAGGAGCAGCTATTCAGAGTTGACTTAATTCAATCTTGCTTAAAGAGTTATATTTCTGGGTCTAGGGTAAAAACTGATCAAAGACCAAAGATCAAAGAAGTAGCAAAGGAAGAGATTATCATACAAGCTCTTAGAACAACTGCTGGTTCCCAAGTCATGTCATAGAGACAGTTCCTAATTAAAGACCATCTTTTTCAGGAAACAGATTGAGAACCATGTTTGCAGGGGCGCTTTTGATTCCCATGCAGATTTCCACATACATTTTCTCAGGAAACAAAGTCAGACATCTTAGCCTCTTTGTATCCTTTTCTTAATCCTTGTAGAGTTTAAAACACAAAAGACACTGACCTAAAGGGGCATCCCTTTGCTCTGAATTAGGGGATTTTAGGCACAGCAAATTTGCTGAGAACAGTTTTTAAAGACAATCGTGTAGAAGTCAATTGGAGCAAAGTGGTTGGGGGTAGGGGTTGGCATTAAAGAACTCATGATGTATTTAAATCTTATGTGCTGAGAATGGATGTTAGGGACAGCCTGGAAAGGCTCTTTTAGAGAGTAACTACTGAAAGCAAAGAATTCTATGGGCAGCTGTTAAGAAAACTGACTTAAAATATCTGTTTATAAAACATATTGTATCAAAATTGACCAATTCTGTAAATTCCATAAAATGATACGAGGGAGTTATTAAAAAATTTTAGAATCAGAACATCTCAGTTGAGCAGGCACTTATGAGAATAAATAGGGTTCTTTGGAAGATGAATTTAATTCAGCAAACATTAAGTCTCTACTACGTGCCAGTTAAGTACTATAGATGCAAGACAAAAAATAAGATGGCATCTGCCCTCAAAGAGTTCACAGTCAATACCCCCTTGAAAGAAATGACTACCCCATGCCACTGACGGGTACAATAGTAGCTTGTAGAGCCCAGGAACTTACCATTGGGAGTATCATATCCACCTGGTAGGCTCTGACTCATTATTTTTCTCTCAGAAGCCAAATGCCTTAGGGAAAATTTAAAAGCTATCCATATGGCTTAGCATTATTTCTCCCAGACACTATTGAATAGCTGTAAACCTTAAGAGGTTTAATTCTGGGATCCTGACATTTTTTCTCCTGACTTTTCTTCATAAAAGTTAATGTGTTTGGACTGAGTAAAAATTACATAACTGAGTCCTAGGTATTAGTGGTATGTTCAAATCAAATGAGAAAATGAGAATTGACGCAAAAAAATAATAAAAGAAACATAAGTAAACCATCAATAATGAAATTCTTTTTTTTAGTGCCTTTACTCCTCAATCCCTGTGAAATACTTAATGCAAAATCTAACAAAACCTTTTAGATTGGACTTACTATTTAAATGAGCTATTTAAAATAACATGTCATAAGCGTTCAAGGAAATTGTTCAAAGAATATGATAGACTCAGTGATCAAATTCAATTACACTGCAAGAGTATTTGTTGAGTGCTAGCCATATATTTCTCACTGGCAGAAATAAGGGACTCCAGAACCACCCAGAAACACCAATCTCAGTAGAAGAGGAGTCCACCTTGTAAAAAAGGGACAAGACAAAGACAGTAAAGGACTTAGAATGAAAATGAGAGATACACAGAGAGTTCAAAGACCAGAGACATCCGTGAGGATAAGATAGTCATTGCTGAGGAGCTGAAATTTGAACTGGACCCTACAGGATTAGTTTATTTACTATGTAGCATTTTAAGGAAGAAGCTCCAGCTGTTCTAAGTAAACATCAGCTGAGCTTTATCAGTGCAAATGTGGAATTCTGATAGTGCTCCAGAAAGCACTTTTGCTCTTACTCAACACCGCCCCCCCCCAAAAGAAATTATTGACAGGGAAAGAGATTTGTTTTTTTTTCTCCTTAAATGTTTCAAAATGTCTCACATGCTGTTAATCATGTCTCTCTCATTCCCCTCCCCCGACTTTCTAATTTAAAACCATAGCTATTTCTCTTGATGAAATAGGACAAGAGTTTCAATAGGTATGAATCAGAGACATCTGTGGGACCCTTCACATTTTTGTCCCTCCTGGCTGTGGTTTCCTGCAGAGCACCCTGGAAGTTAGAGCCAGGTGGGAAAGTCCTAAGTTCACCTAACCAGTCCTTCAAGTCTCATTTTAATCCACCTTAGAAATCAGCACAAAAAAAAAAATTGGATATTTTCTTTTCTTTTTTTTCTTTGTTGCTACCAAAATAAAAGATGTGATTGTATGGTTTTTCTATTTAACCAATGCAAATTATTAATCTCATCCAGCAGTATACTTTTCTTACTTCAATCTTATATACATTCTGTGAGCAGGTCACTTTATATTGGATGATTTTCTTATTGTTGATACCACAGTGATATCCAGGGTGCCAATTTCCCTAGCTAAGGCACCTCTTTCACAGTCATGGAAATGGAAGTGCAGGCCTGGGCACTGAAAGGAGACAAAGTGGTTTCTGAGTCCAGTAGAACAGAGCCATGGAAGTCGCCTATTAATAGTGCTAAGGACAGAAAGAGGACAGGAAATAAAGGAAAAATTGACAGGATTTGATTATTAGTGGCTGTACACTAACTCACCAATGAATTCCTGGAAACAGTAAAAGGCCACTTGCTTTTTTTTTTTTTTAATAACTAATGTATTTCTTCAGGGCCAGTCATAACCAATTGTTAGACGGTCTCTTTGCCTTTCTGGTGATTTTTGGGGGAGAAAAAGGAAACTTGGTTCTGTGACATAATGCTTAAAACGAGAAAACTAATGAGAGCATATGTGGTTGAGGGTAATCTTAAAGAAATTATTGAGTGTGGTTTGTGAAATTCCATAATGCCAGAAACTCTGTGGGGGGGGGGGGAATTAAAACTTTGAAATGAACTCTGACATCAGTATAGTCTATGTGATTTTGTATCTGTCAACAACTGTTTCAGTAAAACTCAATACTCAAACAGCCTTACAGTAACCCTGCACTGAAGTGCAAAATGTTCAGAAAAAATTTTTTAGCCTTCAAGAAAAAAATCAATTTATTAAATTGACACAGGATGGCTACATATACTAGGCTGTTTGTACTTTTTTATATACAACTTTAATAGCTAATTCTGCTAAGACCATTTTTTTTAGAAAATACCATCATGACAATGTTTCATAAAAATAAGCACACAGACCCTGGAGGAAGACTTAGCTGTTGTCATCCAGAGTTCCAGTGGCATGAAATGGCATCTGTGGAATACAGTTGCACTATTTTTTAAACTTCTTTGGGGATTTGTGCCATTTTGAAAACATTGGAAGTGTTGGTGGAATTTGTTAGTAGCCCAAACCCCTCTGTGGCCATAGAAGAGATACTGAAGACAAAAATACATAAAATCCAGGAACAATTGTCTTACAGGAAAGATGCACCTATTTTACTGTTTCAATTGGAGACTTGTAGTCAGTCATAAATCATGTGCAGAGCCTCATGTGCAGTTTTCCTTGGGCATACATAGATGTCTACACTGCTAGTTTCAGTGCAAGCCCTTACCTTGCCTTGCTTTGCTTATTTCTGTCCCCATAGATCCCATAATCCCTTTCCTCCATGTTCAGAAACATTTCTATGTAATTTCCGTAAGAAAGAATAAGCAGCATACCTGCCCATTGGTGTTGCTTTTTACATAACTGATAGTGTAGACAAGAACTGATTTTCAGAAAAACATACATTAACTAGAATTAATTAGAATTCTTTCTAAAATAAGCCTCAAAAAATTGGATGCCGCATTTTTCTGGTTAAAAATTTTGCAGAAATCAACTTTGTTTGCATCATGTCCATTTAAGAATATGCCTGTAGATAATCAATGATTATGGGGTGTGTTTTTCGCCTTTCTGGAAGAATTTGGTTCTTTTCCTGGAAATTAGGAGTGGGGAAGTGATAATAAATTTCAAACTCACTTGGAATGGAGGCAGTGATTCCTCTGGGTCTAAATATTTTGCTAAAAATTCAAATCATGACTTTTATTTTAGGATCTTTTTAGCAAAAGACTCACTTCTTTGGGCAGTTGCAACATTGCTTTTGTGATGTTAATTTTTTAACAAAAATAAAGCCACTTGAAAACTACTAATCCTGCAAATTACCGGAAGATCCCCAAATTTATATTTGTAAGAAGGAAGTTGTTTTATTTTATCAGTAAACAACTACTAAGAAATGTAAAGGCCATTTGAATGTCAAACAACATCTGGAATTAAAAAAAAAACAAGAATGATGTATAAATTATTGGCATTGGTTTTCTTACTTCTTAAAACCTTTACTCCTTGTTTGCATGATCCGCTTTGTTAAATATACTAATTGTAGTTTGAAAGCAAGTGTGTATGAATAAAGATAATGATCATTACTTGGTCTCTTTGGTCTTATTTACATACTTAGAGAAATTCCCCTTCTTTTCAGTAAAGTATACATTTAATAATGGTTCTGGGTAGAGAGAAAAAATGGAGCTTTTGCACCCAAGAACACTACAGTTATTTCTTCCACATTATGACTTTCCCCATCGAGGTTTCCAGGTTTCCATACATCACAGGTCAGCATAAGAAATTAAATAGGGATTATGGGGGGCAGTTTTGCAGAAGCTGCAGACAACACATAAAGCCCAGCACACAACACAGAGCCTTATACTAACCAAATACTTAACCCAAATTTTACAGTAAGGTGCTGTAAACACCCAATAAAAAAAAGACTTGTTCTTTGATATGAAGGGAAGGCCAAAAGTTTTTATGTGGATTTTCCAGATCGTGGGGTGCTGCACCCCCTAACCTCCCACGATGTGAAAGGGATAACTATATTTCAATTTCACCATCTCTTTGTAGCAGTAATTTCATCTTTGAGTACTAAGTTGGGACCCAGATCTCCATTTGGGTTTATAATTCTCTCTGAAAATAAATAACCACCCAACATTAGAGCAAGGGATGGCAAGCATCATTTAGCCCAAACATCCTCTTTTTACAAATGTGTGATGCTCAGGGTCATCCTGCACACAGCTGGAACTATATCCTTAACTAGACATTTTGTGCCTGGGAACAGTAATTACAGGGACCTGCTAGATAGGGGAAAACCAAGATCTAAGGATAGCTGACAGATACCAAGGCCATGGGTCAAAGTACAAGAGCAGGGCGAGGCAGGACAGGAGTTTAAGTCATAGCACCATATTTAATTTTTCCTTCTAAGTGCTAGGCTCGTTTGTTTCTATCTTCTAAAGAGATTGCGGGTGCTATGAGTGTTCTGTAAATCCAGTACACTTATTGCCCTGCTCTAATTAATAGTAACAACAATTATTTTGGTAATGTGAACAGAAACAGTACAAGAGTGGACTACATATTATTTGAGACTGTTGTAGATGCCAGGATAAAAACGTGTGAAGGGGAGAGGATAAGTGAAGCTTCGGGCAGGGCAGGAGTTAATCTGGGAATGATCATGGGGAGAAGTGTGCTAAGCTATAATTTTAACCCTGCTGAGGCCACTCTAATTTGATACCTCAGAGAAAGGTACAAGTTACCCCCACTCTAGTTGGGGTTCCAGTAACAAGTGGGTAAATAGATAACAATAGAAGGTAGACTATACTAAGTGTTTAATGAGTAATATATAAATCAAATATTAAAAGAATTCAGAAGAAGCAGCAATCCTGAAGGCCAGATTGAAGCAGGTTGCCAAAATTAGCTCATTCTAGTAAGAAAGAATAAGGAGTATCCCAGTGAAGGATGGAAAGATCAAATTATTTTTAGTTTGGGAACAAATAATTTTAGACCTGAAAAGGAAATTAGCAGTCATTTAATCCATTGCCCTTATAACAGAGATAAGGAAGCTAAGGCTCAGTTATGGGAAGTGATTGTCCTAAATTCACATAGACAATCAATGACAATTATATAAATCAATGACTTTATTAAGTACTTAACATATGCCCAGAAATGGGAAGCCCTAAAGATACGAAGACATATGAAACCATCCATGCTATCAAGCTTACATTGGAGGGGGGGAGGAAGGGGAGTTGGACAACATACATGCATATACAAAATAAGGTAATTTGAGGAAGGATTGTGCTAGCAGTTTTGGAGACCAAGAAAGGCTTTATGAAAAAAGTGGTCTACGAGCTGTCTTTTTTTTTTTTATAGTATTTTCCCCCAATTACATATTGAGACAATTTTTAGCATTCATTTTTACAAGATTTTGAGTTCTAAATTTTTCTCCCTCCCTCCATTCCCCCCTTCCTACAATGGAAAACAATTGGATATAGATTATACATGTGCTATCATGTAAAACATTTCCACATTAGTCACAGTTGTGAAAGAAGAAACAGATCAAAAGGGAAAAAACCATGAAAAAGAATAACGTAAGTGAAAAAGGTGTGTTTCAATCTGCATTCAGAGTCCATCAGTTCTTTCTTTGGATGTGGATAGCATTTTCCTTTGAGTCTTTTGTATTTGTCTTGGATCATTGCGTTGCTGAGAGGAGCTGAGTCATTAATAGATGATCATCATACAATGTTGATGATACTGTGTACAATGTTATCCTGGTTCTGCTCATTTCACTTTGCATCAGTTCATACAAATCTTTCCAGGTTTTTCTGAAATGTGCCTATTCATTTCTTATTGCACAGTAGTATTCCATTACATTGACATACCACAACTTGTTTAGCCATTCCCCAATTGATGGGCATCCCCTCAATTTCCAATATTTTGAGACCACAGAAAGGGTTACTATAAATATTTTTACACATGTAGGTCCCTTTCCCCCTTTTTATGATCTCTTTGGGATACAAACCTAGTAGTGGTATTGCTGAAGCAAATGGTATGCACACTTTGGTTACCCTTTGGACATAGTTCCAAATTGCTCTCCAGAATGGTTGGATCAGTTCACAACTCCAACAACAATGCATTAGTGTCCCAATTTTCACATATGCTCTCCAACATTTATCATTTTCCTTTTTTGTCATATTAGCCAATTGGATAAATGTGAGGTGATACCTCAGAGTTGTTTTAATTTGCATTTCTCTAATCAAAAGTGATTTAGAGCACTTCTTCATATGCTTATAGATAGCTTTGATTTCTTCATCTGAAAACTGTCTGTTCATATCATTTGACTATGTATCAATTGGGTAATGGCTTGTATTCTTATAAATTTTACTCAGTTTGCTATATAATTGAGAAATGAGGCCTTTATCAGAGACACTTCCTATAAATATTGTTTCTGAGCTTTCTGTTTTCCTTCTAATCTTGGTTGCATTAGTTTTGTTTGTGCAAAAGCTTTTTAATTTAATATAATCAAAATTATCTATTTTACATTTCATAATGCTCTCTCTCTCTTGTTTAGTCATGAACCTGTAACTCACTAAACTTCTCCTTTAAGAATCTGGATGCTATACCACTTGATGCATATATGTTTAGTATTGATATTACTTCACTGCCTATGTACCTTTTAGCAAGATATAATTTCCTTCCTTATCTCTTTTAATTTGGTCTATTTTTGCTTTTGCTTTGTCTGAAATCAGGATTGCTACCCCTGCTTTTTTTATTTCAGCTGAAGCATAACAGATTCTGCTCCAATCCCTTACCTTTACTCTGTGTGTGCCTCTCTGCATCAAGTGTTTCTTGCAAACAACATATTATAGGATTCTGGTTTTTGATCCACTCTGCTGTCTGCTTCTATTTTATGGGAGAGTTCATCCCATTCACATTCATAGTTATGATTGTATATTTCCCATCATCCTATTTTTCCTCCTGTTTTTCCTCTCTGTCTCCTCTCTATCTACTGCCTTCCCCGATCTGCCCTTTCCTCTGTCAGTTCCCCACCTCCCCCCCTGCACCACTTTTATTTAATCTCCTCCCTTCCTATTTTGCTGTTTGGGTAAGATAGATTTCTATATTCAACTGACTGTGTAAATGATTCCCTCTTTGAGCCAATACTGATGAGAGTAAGGTTCAAGCATGCTCATCGCCCATCCTCCTTTTTTCCCCTCCACTTTAACAGGTTTTTTGTGCTTCTTTGTGTGAAATAATTTACCCCATTCTACCTCTCCCTTCTGCACCCAGTGTATTCTTCTTTCTCATCCTTTAATTATTTTTATGTCATTCCCTCCACCTTATATCAGTACCCTCTGCCTTTGTATATCCCTTCTAGCTGTACTATTAGTGGTACAATTTTTAAGAATTACTAGTATCATCTTCCCATATAGGAATATAAAGATCAGCTCCACCAAATCCCTTATATTTTCTATTCCCTTTTTACCTTTTTAGGCTTCCCTTCAATCTTGATATTGGAGATCAAACTTTTTCTTCAGTTCTGGTCTTCTCCTTATGAAAACTTAAAATCCTTCTATTTAATTGAATTACCATTTTTTCTCTTGAAGCCTTGAAGTATCATATTTAATTTCACCAGGTAGGTGATTCTTGATTGTAGTCCTAGCTTTTTTGCCTTCTGGAATACCATGTTCCATGACCTCTGATCCTTTAATGTTGTAGCTGTTAAATCCTGTGTAATCCTGATTGTGGTTCCCTAATATTTGAATTGGTTTTTTTTTCTGACCACTTGCCGTACCTTTTTTGCCTTGACCTGATAGTTCTGTAATTTGGCTATAATGTTCCTTCAGGTGATCAGTGGATTCTTTTTTTTTTTAATATAATTTATTTATTTATTTTGAGTTTTCAACATTCACTTCCATAAGATTTTGAGCTTTAAATTTTCTCCCCTTCTCTTTCCCCCCCACTTTCCAAGACAGCTGATATAGGCTCCAGATATACATTCATATTAAACATATTTTCACATTAGTCATGATGTAAAGAAGAATTAGAACCAATGGGAGGAACCATGAGAAAGAAGAAACAGAACAAAACAACAAAAGAAAAGTAGAGCAAATAGTATGCTTTGATCCGCATTCAGATTCCATAGTTCTTTCTTTGAATATGGATAGCTTTTTCCATCCTGAGCCTTTTGGAGTTGTCTTAGATTCTTGCATTGCTGAGAAGAGCTAAGTCTATCAAAGTCAGTCATTCCATAATGTGGTTGATACTGTGTACAATGTTTTCCTGGTTCTCCTCACTTCACTCAACATCAGTTCATATAAGTCTTTCCAGGTTTTTCTGAAGTCTACCTGCTCATTATTTCTTGTAGCACAATAGTATTCCATTGTATTCATATACCACAGCTTGTTCAGCCATTCCCCAATTAATGGGCATCCCCTCAATTTCCAATTCTTGGCCACCACAAAAAAAGCTGCCATAAATATTTTTGTATATGTGGGTCCTTTTCTTTTTTTTTTTTATTATCTCTTTGGTGTATAGACCTAGTAGTGGTATTGCTGGATCAAGGTTATGCACTGTTTTATACCCTTTGGGCATAGTTCCAAAT